CACAGGGATCTCTCTCTCTCTCTCTCTCCCCCCCCCCCCTCCGGATTTAAAAGTATGAGTTTGGTGGTCCCTGAGGTCCAAAAGGTTGGTGACCCCGATCTGGATAACCCTTGGATGTTTTCCAACTTCCGTTTGTACAGGTTGAACACAGTGGTGTTTACTCCGCCAGACCCCACCCGTTGCAATGGCACTTGGACGGATGTCTACCTTGTGGGCAACTTCTCCTCCTCGGCCCAGTTCTTCGTCACGTTTGGAGTCCTGATCTTCTTCTACTGCATGATGGCCCTGGTCTTTTACATTGGCTATATGCACGCCTATCGGAATGGTAGCAATTTCCCAATGATCGTAAGTCATTAAGGCTCGGGTTGGATGATTTTTTTAAAAAAAGGAAAAAGACATTAGAGGTATCTATGGAGATTCTCAGTCATCTGGCTCACAGTTGACCCCAAGGTGCTTTTTTCAGGAGGCAACTGGACTTTCTTGTTTTTTTTCCTCTTCTGAAGATGTTTCGCTTCTCCTTCCAAGAAGCTTCTTCAGCTCTGACTGAATGGTGGGGGAATGAAGGATTCCTTGCAGACAGCTGGTCATTTGCATCCTTTGAGGGGGTCGTTGAGGCCACTTGGAGGTCCTCAGAGTCGCCTGAGTGGTGTTCCTGGTTCCTGCAGTCTGCAATTTTCCCTCTGGAAATCTATTCCTACTCCCCCACCATTCCAAGGGTGTCCATCCCAAATTGTATAGCTAAAAGTCTATAGAGATTTTCTGTCATCCAGGTCATGGTTATCCCAAAGATGCTTTTTTTTCAGGAGGCAACTGGACTTTCTTTTTCTTTTTTCTTTTGAAGACATTTCGCTTCTTATCCAAGAAGCTTCTTCAGTTCTGACGGAATGGTGGGGAAATGGAAGGATTTCTATTCCTTGTAGACAGCTGGCCATTTGCATCCTTCATGCTGTTCACTAAAAAATATGTTTTTAAAATGTGGAAAACTGAAGTAAAATTTTATAAAAAAACAAAAAACAAAAGGAGATCGATCACATGTCCCTGGGACATTACAACTGTCATAAAAATGGAGCAGTTGTCAAGCATCCCAATGTCAATCACGTGACCATGGGGGATGCTACAACGGTCGTTAAGTGTGAAACACGGTCGCAAGTTACCTTTTTCAGTGACCTTGTCACAGTTCATTAAATGAACTGTTGTACATCGAAAACTACCTCTATAGTCCCAAAGGTGCTTTTTTTAAAGGGGCAACTGGTTTTTCTTTGAAGACATTTTGCTTCTCATCCAAGAAGCTTCTTCAGCTCTGACAGGACAGTGGGGAAGTGGAGGCAGTAGCTCTATTGAATTCTTCTGTATAGTGCACTACGAATGCAACATCGGGTTTTCAATTCAATTGTACAGAATGTGAAGGAGGTGTGTTTGTATTTTGTTTTTATAGTGATAATGTACACTGAAGTTGGCACTTAATTTCGTTGTACAAGGTGCAATGACAATAAAGTAAACTAAACTGAACTATAGTCCTAGCCAGCGGCTGATTCTTTCAGTTCTATCATCTGAAGCTTTGATCCATAAACAAAATTGATTAACTTCACTCTTTTGGCTTCCAGGATTACGTTTTCACTCTCTGTGCTGTTTTTCTGTGGCTAGTCAGTACAGCTGCCTGGGCCAAAGCCTTGGTGGATATCAAAATATCGACCGGTTACCACATTGTGGAAGAAATCCCAGCGTGCAAAATTGTTGGATCCTCCTGTGCGTTTGTTTCCGTTACCAGCATGGGAAGTCTGAATGTGTCTGTGGTATGTACAGCATGTCAAGTATGGTTTTAACAGTGTGTGTGTATATATATCTGTTCTGATAAAGAGGGGAATATTTGTAGATTGGGCTTGAAATGAGGGCTCCTTGGTGCTCTCTAAGCTTGGTGGTTTTGTAGCAGACGTTTCATGACCCAACCAGGGAACATCATCAGTGCTAGAAGAGAGAGGGAGTTTGTGCAGGGGTGGGCTTCAAAAATTTTAGTAAAGGGTTCTCTACCCAGTTGCTGGGTGGGCATGGTCAGGGTGGGCATGGCCTAGTCGGCCTCCTGCACCACGGCAATGGGGGGGCAGTTTTGCCCTCCCCAGGCTCCAGAGGCTCTCTGAAGGCTGGAAACGGGCCCATTTCCGGCCTTCCCAAACTTCCGGGAAGTGACGAAACGGTTCTGGTTTTCGGCCTGAAAAGCCTGCAGAAGCCTTCCTAAAGCCTCTGGGAGGCTGAAAAAGGCCTCCAACCGGCCGAAAATCAGCTGTGAGGCACATGCATGCGCAGTGAGTTAAGTTTGCCTGCAGCTCGTGTGCCGGCACAAGTGGCTCACCGTGCTACCTGTGGCACCTGTGGCATCACAGGCCTAGTCAGCCTCCTGCACCATGGTGGGGAGGGCAAAAACGCCCCCCCCAGGCTCTGGAGGATATCTGGAAGCCGGAAACGGGCCCATTTCCAGCCTTCAGAGAGCCTCCGGGAGGCCCCGTTTTTGACCGAGTCTCCCCAGGCACCCTGCACTTACCTGCATCCAAAACGGGCCACATGGGGACTCCGGGGAGGGGAGGAATGGGCGGACCCAGCCAGGAGTGCACAGAATCTTAGCTAGGGGCTCTCCCGAACCCCTGGAAGAACCCCCATCAACCCCACCCCTGGGTTTGTGGAGAGGAGGAGGAAGAGGAAGGACTGGGGGTTCCTTGGTGCTCTCTGAGCTTGGTTGTTTTGTTGCAGACATTTCATTACCCAACCAGGGAACATCATCAGTGCTAGAAGGGAATGGGGTGCTCAAATGAGAGCATCAAGGACTCCCCACCTCCAGAGGTGGTATTCAGCAGGTTCTGACCAGTTCTGGAGAACTGGTAGCGGAAATTTTGAGTAGTTCGGAGAACCGGTAGTGGAAATTTTAAGTAGTTCAAAATCTCACCTCTGACTGGCCCCGCCCCCATCTATTCTCTGCCTCCCATGAGTCCCAGCTGATCGGCTGGATCTTCTTTGGTTGCCCTGCACAGGAGAACGGAGCTGGAAAGCAGGTTAGTGGGGTGGGGAGGGAAGGGGGATTTTGCAGTATCCTTCCCCTGCCACGCCTACCAAGCCACGCCCACAGAACCGACAATAAAATTTTTTGAATCCCACTACTGCCCACCTACCTTCCTGCCTCAACAACAGTGTGTCTGGGAATTGAATGTGTGGACTTCAACTCCCAGAATTCCCCAGCTGGCAAGTAGCTGGGGAATTCTGGGAGCTGAAGTCCACCCTTTTAAAAAAAAGTCACCAAGTTTGAGACACGCTGTTCTAGAAAGCTCACCGTCCATAAAGCCTAATCTTCAATTTTTGTGGCTGTAACGTAGAGGTGCGCTTCTCTCGAAAAATAGGCCACTGCAGATCTACAAATTGAGTGATGGTGTTTTGAGCATCCAGGGAGGGAAAGGAAAGGAGAAAGGGAAAGAGGAAAGGGAAAGAAAAAGAAGGAAAGAGGGAAGGAAACAAGGAAGGAAGAAAGGAGAGGGAAGCCACAAGGAAAAAGAAGAAAATGGGAAAGGAAGGAAGGAAGGAAAGAAAGAAAGAAATTTCCCACAGGTGACATCGAATTGGCCACTCCCAACATGACCATGCCCCACTCAGCTCCCCGAGGCCCATCACAACCCTGATGTGGCCATCCATAAAATTGAGTTTGACACCCCTCGTGTAAAATGTCTTTTCACTGTCCCCCTTAAAAATTGTGTAAAGTATGCATTGATTCAATTACAACACCATGCTAATTAAGACCTCTGTTTCTTGCAGGTTTTTGGCTTGGTGAATATGATTCTGTGGGGTGGAAACGCTTGGTTTGTATACAAGGAGACTAGCCTGCACAAACCTAACAGTAATTCTCCAAAATCAGGATTCTACCCACCGACAGCAGGAATCTGAACTCTTGCGGATGTATGCTCCAATGGCCGCCATTTCATTGTGTTGACAAGTTTGAATACACTGTATTTCAAAATATTTTACAATTAACTTTCACAAATGTACAATTTGGAAAAGAAAAAGAAAAAAAAACTCCTGGTGTAGGTAGGAAATGAGTCTCTTGAAAGAATTTATGAACCTTAAATGAATACTTGTGTCAAATGCTTGGACTGTGTTGTCATTTTAGAAAAGAATTTTTTGGGCACGATACGTTTCTGTTGTAATGATAAACTGCATTTGACAATTCTTTGCCTGTCTAATTGTACTCATGTTATACTGTACTTAACGTTTTGTCATAAAGAGAGACTTAAAATAATTGTTGTGCATTCTATTGAGGGTTAGGATTTGGCAAATTCACTGTCTGTTTAACCAGTTGCCTGATTTAAAAAGTTTCCTCAGCACCAAAAAGGTATTTTTTTTTTTGTATTTGTGATTTCAGTGTAATTGTTCAACTGCTATAAAAAAAGAGAGACTGGCTACAGCTTGAATACTGTGTGATTTATAACTGAGGTATATATAAATGTTTGAGTCGAACATAGAACGATCACCGGTGATCTATTTTAAATTGGAAAAGTTCTTTCTGATCTTGAGAATGCAAGTTTGTTCAGAGTATTACAGCGTAAATTCAGCTCCAGAAAAGTAAACACAGATGGCTGAGGCTTCATTTAACTTTTTTATAAACACATAAAGTAAATTTTACAATACCAGTTGTAGATTTCTCCAACATGGAACAACTCAAACAGAAGCAGACATGTTACAGGTTCAGAGCAGAACAGCAACTCAGGAGCTCAGAAACAGACATCAGTTTCCCTTTAGTTTAGCGGGCAAGTAAGCAAGCTAGTTTCTCTTTCACTTTAGAGCTGAGCACAGAACAGAGATAAACCATGCCCAGATTCTCTCTTTAAGTTTCAGTCCTCAATTCAGCTCTCATTGGCTGACCTTGTTACCAAGCTCTATTCCAATTCATGAATATACTTTGACAAAGTTATACCCAGGGAAGAATTCAAGTCTTAAGAAAGCCGTCAATTACTTCTTGAGTTTGACTGCTTAAACATGGATGTTTAATGTTTTCGAGCATTGTCTACAGGGGTGGGATTCAGCCGGTTCGGGCAAACCGGTAGTTCCGGCGATTAGTTGGCCCTGCCCAGCCGCCCCTGCCCAAGTCTGTACTATATTTCTGTGTTTGCACCGTGGCACGGCAGATTGCTGTGCCCCAGCTGTTTTACTCACCGGGGCTGCAGCAGAAAGTAAGTTTTAGTGCTGAAAACGGGTGGTTTTCAAACTCTGCGCACGCTTACCAAACCAGTTGTTACACCGGTTGAATCCCACCACTGATTGTCTCGGTTCAGTCTAATAAATTGGCGTTTCTAGAAATTGGGCCTGTTGTTCTGAAAACATTCTACAGTATAGCAGATACTAGCAAAACCTAAAGCAGTTTTGTTTTTGCTCTAGAGCCGTGATGGTGAATCTATGGCACGCATGCCGGAAGTGACACGCAGAGCCACTTCTGCTGGCACGCGAGAGGTCACCCAGAAGAGTCCCACTGCTCATGCTCACGCAGTCCCCACCAGCCAGCTGATTGTTGGGTATTTGCCATGCATGTGTGGAGGGAGACGTGTGCAGGGGAGAGGTGCGCACATGCGCAGAGGCATGTGGTATGCAGGGGAGTTGCTTGCGCATGCGCAGGGGGCTGGGGGAGTCGTGCATGCATTACATCATGGGTGCAGTCACGGAGCGTGTGCACGGGCGCACACTTTTGGCACGCACCATGGAAAAGGTTAGCCATCATTGCTCTAGAGCAGAGGTAGTCAACCTTTTTATACCTACCGCCCACTTTTGTATCTCTCTTAGTAGTAAAGTTTTCTCTAACTGCCCACCGGTTCCACAGTAATGATGATTTATAAAGTAGGGGACAAAATCCCTACCGCCCACCATGAAAGCTGGAACGCCCACTAGTGGGCGGTAGGGACCAGGTTGACTACCACTGCTCTAGAGCAATGTTTCCCAACCTCAGAAATTTTTAAGCGGTATGGACTTCAACTCTCAGAATTTTCCATCCAGTACTGGCTGGGGAATTCTGGGTGCTGAAGTCCCACATGTCTTAACGTAACTATTTGGCATAATACCAGAAAAATATATTAAAGGGAATATATATTTAATATTACACGTTTAGACAGCAGCAAGAATTGTATTTGCACAATACTGGAAAAACGAGGAAACATCTACGGAAGAAGATACAATTAAAAAAAATATTAGACTGCAGAAATGGATAGATTAGCACTGAAGATAAAAGAAAAAGAAGACATAGAATATTTTCAAACTTGGGACTTTTTAAATTAATGGTTGGATAATAGAGGTAGAAATTAGGAACTGAAAAAGCATTATTATGTAAACAAATTGATTCAGACAGTATGTTGTTCACCAAGCACTTAGTGGATCAAAAAGAAGAGACAAGCAAAGAACACACTGGCTTGATCACATCAAATCAAATATGAACAAATGAAAGAAGCTGTCCTTGGCAAGGTAGCATGGAAAGCACTTGCCTATAAAGTCACCAAGAATCAGACACAACATGTCCTCTTTTAATGACCCCATAATCCTTTGCAGGGTGGAATCTGGGCAACTGAATGAAGCTGAGTGTTTACTGGCCGGATGCCCTTCCTGTCACCAATGCAGAATTCTATTCAGCAGATATATTCTCAGTGTGCTCAGAGAGAGAAATATCTGCCTCTACCTGGGATCAAACTCACAGCCTCCTGATTGTGAGGTGAGAGCTCCACCTCTAGGCCACTGGACCACTCAAATGAGTCGGACGCAACTGAACATTTAAAACTACTAGTAATATTCCTATAGAGTTGGTTTCCTGATTTGGTCATTAAGAGGCATCCAGATCAGCTGTTAGGTTTTCTGGATCACAGACATATTGCACCTGGTTTTAAGACTGATTTTGATATTTGGGATATATTTTGTGAGAGGGGATGGGAGATTTGCGTGGGGGAGTGGGTGAAGGTGATTGGTTGCTCAGTCGTTCCTCGTTTGCTTTCTGCAATTTCAGCTGGCCATTCAGGAAACTTTCAGTCTTTTTGTCTAAGGTTGTTGGTTCTAGGTGATTTGATCTTCTGGTTTCATCTTCCATTTGGAATAGGTCACCTGTTTGGTCATTCTTTGGAGGTTTCGTCTGCTTAAGATCTCCTTGATTACCACCCTCCTTTTCACCACTTTTTGGAGATCTCGTTTTCTGTTTCAGATTCCCTTCACCACCACTACTGGTGGTAGCCTCTGCTTTGGGTAGAACCTTTTCACCACTTTTGGGAGATCTCGGCTTCTCTTTGAGATTCCCTTCACCACCACTAGTGATAGCCTCTGTTTTGGGCAGGCTGCCTTCACCACTCTTCGGAGGAGTTGTTACTTTTGCAATGGAGTCTTTCACTTCAGTCTTGGAAAGCACACTGGGGTCTTTCCATCTTCGTGCCCCAGATTTTGAGTTGTATTCATACACTTTGCCAGTGACTGTGGAAGAAATGATTAATTTAACATTTCATTTTCAGAGTGGGAGGGATGTGATCAGTGGTGTGATTTAGCGGTTCACAATGGTTTATGCGAACTGGTTGTTAAATTAGCATGCGCACACGCACACACACACACTATCAAAGTGGATTCTGGGCACTGCACTGCACTGCAATGGAGAAACCAGGACAATGGAGCAGCCGGTGCGAGGGAAGGAGAAGGCCGCTTTCCTTCTTTCTTCTCCGTGCTCCTCCTCCTTCCCTTGTGCCGGCTGCCCCATTTCCTGTTTCTCCATTGCAGTGCAATGCGGCTCCCAGGATCCACTTTGGTAGTGTGTGTGAGGGGGAGGAGGGTAATTTAACAACTGGTTCTCCCAGAATAAGGTTGGCCATCATGGGAAGCTCCTCCCACATGTGCAGCAGTGCTCGAGATTGGGGATGGGCCACGCCTCCCATGTCAGCCAACCTGATCCTGGGCGAATCCCATCACTGGATGTGATGGTTTATTTGATTTGTAATCCACTGTAATCCTACAAGATTCTCAGCAGCTAACAACCAAATATAATAACACAAAACATCCACGTTCATATAAGTAATATATTTACCAATAGGAAGAACATCCTAGCCAAACTCAAAGCAAAATCAACAAACAAAAAACTAAACCTCCCTTTAAACCACTGTCATGCCCCTGTTGGAATCTGATTCCAAGGGGGAGGCCGAGCAGCTGACAGGGAGTGGGAGTGTGACTCCGTTGGAAGAAACTGGGGAAGGGCACAGTCTGGCTGGGCAGAGCAGGGGAGAAGTAGAGCAAGGCAGAGGGAATTCAGAAGAAGATCCAGGCCCACCCCCTCTTCATCCTAGGGCACGCAGGGAGGAACGGAGAAGGGAGCAACGTGAGTTGCGTGGCTTACGGGGGAGAAAAGGCCCCTGATTCCCTTCATTAGCTGCAGCTGGGAACACAGTGTTTAAAAAGGTAGTTTGCACACAGCAACTTGTCAGAAGCAAATTGTGAGTTATCTTTTATTGTCGAGGCTTATGTGGGTTCCTGGCATCTTCCCAACTGTGTGTGTTTTGTTGGCCTTTGAAGTCTGCAATTCCTTATCCTGCCCCTGTCCAGTTAATTGCTGCAGCGTGGTTTGTGTGGATTTTTATTTACAGTTTATATGTACTTTGTTTTTGGACTGAATTTCCTCCACTTAAAGACTGTTCTTGGGAGTTTTTTATCCAGCCGAAGGTAACCTGGACAAAGTTGGAGGTATTAAAGGGACTTTTCTTACTTATGTGACTGTGTTGCCTTTGTACCACACCCTGGGTCATCACAACCACCTTCTGAAATGGGACAGCAAGGAAGTCAAATTGATCTCAGTGGGAAAGCCAGTCTAGAGAACAGGTGTTGTCGCAGAAAAAGCAACTCCTCTGGGTGTCTCATCCTCCTGATGAGGTACAACCAACACTCTTTCTGCAACAATCAAATTCACCCAAAGATACTTTTCCAAAAGGCAAATGGACTATCTTGGTTTCTTTTTTTCGGTTGAAAACGTTTCGCTTCTCAACTAAGAAGCTTCTTCAGTTCTGGAGGTTCAGTTTTCCGCAGAACTTGAAGAAGCTTCTTGATTGATTGCTTCAACACTCTTGATAATTTGACTTTTCTCTTGAACAAAAGCGTAGTGTTGTTTTTTGCCTTGGAGGCATAAATTTCTTGCTCTAATAAGACTTAAATGCTTTTCTTTCAAAATCATTTGGCTCTTTCTCAGCCTCCTTGTAATATACCTGGGTCTATTGCTTCCCCATCGAAAACAGTATTTAAGTTGGTCATTTCCTAAAGAGACAAACAAAAGGCTAATTTAGTACCATTAATTAAAGAACTGGGGGAAAACAGCATGGAATCAAGGAGAATTCTACAGTCTCTGTGTTGGATTAAAACAGGGGTGTCAAACTCGATTTCATTGAGGGCCGCATCAGGGTTTTGTTTGATCTTGGGAGATCTGGGTGGGCGTGGCCTGGAGGGTGTGGGCAACTTGACATCACTTGTGTCAGGGGTGCTGGTGGTGGCCTGAGCACTCAGCCAGTGAAAACAGGGTCCCGAGCTCCGTTTTCAGCTGCAACGGCCTCCTGAAATTCCCTGCCAGCGAAAATGGAGCTCAGGAGGACCGAGCCCCATTTTCACTAGCAGATGCACTGCTGGCCAGTCCTTTGCTATTCCATAGTGGCCCCACAGGCCAAATCTAAACACCCCACAGGCTGGATCAGGCCCACGGATCTTGAATTTCACACCCCTGGATTAAAGCATAGTTAGCATATGATTGCTTACATAAAGACAGAAAATTGTAGAATTTGAGGGAAACTTTTTTTTTGAGAATACACTAAGCCCGTGATGGCGAACCCATGGCACATGTGCCACAGGTGGCACGCGAAGCCATTTGTGTGGGCATGCGAGCCCCAGCCAAACTTACCTGTGCTGCGCATGTGTGTGCCTCCCTGCTGATTTTCGGCCCATTTGAGGCTGTTTTCGGCCTCCCTGAGGCTCAAGAGAAGCTTCTGCAGCCTTGGGAAATACCAGAATTGCCCATTTTCAGCCTCTGGAGGGCCTCTGGAGCCCAGGGGGAGGCTGTTTTCGCCCTCTCGAGGGCTCAAGGGAAGCCTCTGCAGCCTGTGGAGGCCGAAAAATGGGCCTGTTTCGTCAATTCCGGTATTTCCGAAAGGCCTGTTTTTCGGCCTCCCAAGGCTGCAGAAGCTTCCCTCGAGCCTCAGAGGCCTCAAACGGGCTGGGAGGCGCGCGCATGCACAGTGCAGGTAATGGGTGAACGGGGGAGTTTTGCGCGTGCATGTGGAGGGGGGGGGCGGGGCGCATTGCCTTCTGGGTGCTAGCATGTGAGCACACGAGTGCAAGTGCACACACAATTTTTGGCACGGCAGCCCAAAAAGATTAGCCACCACTGCACTAAGTTCTTTGCTTTCATATTTAATTTATATTTAAGTTTTATTCTTTCATAAACGTAGAAGATAACACAAGAAAGTCACCATCTTGGAATGTGGCAACTAGGAAGTGATTTCTGGTTTAGGGGGAGAGTGACTTAACAATAGTAGGAAATCTTATAAATTGGACTAAGGATGTGAACTTTCTAACTGGATCTAGAAAGGCAAAAAAGAAGCACAACTCTACATTATTTTGATTTTTGTGCTGTTTTTCCACTATCAGCTATTTTGAATTGGGGGGGAGGATGTAATTTTTTTTTATAAAAAATAAATTATCTAGATTAAACAGGAACGGTCGCAATAATTACAACAGCCTTTCTGGGCTTTAATATGAGCCAGAATATATATTGGCATCCTGATATGCTAATCCTAAATAAGCAAAAATTCTGTATTTTTTTTTCTGTTCCAGGTTTAAAGCATACATACCCATATAGTTTCTTTCTTTGCTTTCTTCTTTTCTGTAGGGAAAATATATATATATATATTTCTAACCTTTCACTTTATGAAAACAAGAGTTAAAAGTATCCAATCAAATTACATTCTTTATTGCAGGACGCCAACCTGAATTAAGTAGAACTTACTACATAAAACCAAGAGTAGAAGAAGTTACATGGTCAGGTAACAAAATACCTGCAAACAATTAATTAAGCTCAGAGAGCACCAAGGACTACACATTTCAAGCCTTTTATTCTACCTATAAGACTTACACCCGGTCACTTAGCAACTATTCAACTATGACTTCCAGTTATAAACTGGTTCTGAAATTTTGATGACCCCCCCCAAGTCATATTTGGGGGGACCCATTTGTATTCCACCTTTATTATTTTTACAAATAATGATAGCTGTATTGGATATGTTCAAGGCAGTGAACATATGTGGTGGAATTCAAATTTTTTTACTACTGGTTCTGTGGGTGTGACTTGGTTGGCATGGTGTAGCTTGGTGGGTGTGGCAGGGGAAGGTTACTGCAAAATCCCCCTTCCCTCCCCACCCCACTGACCTGCTTTCCAGCTCCGTTCTCCTGTGCAGGGCAACCAAAGGAGACCCAGCCGATCAGCTGGGACTCAATGGGAGGCAGAGAAGAGATGGGGGCGGGGCCAGTCAGAGGTGGTATTGGCCGGTTCTCCGAGCTACTCAAAATTTCCGCTACTGGTTCTCCAGAACTGGTCAGAACCTGCTGAATACCACCTCTGGAACCTATCCAAAACACCTTCCTCCTACTATTTTTCCTACAACAACAATCATGTGAGGTGACTTGGGCTGAGAGAGACGGACTGGCCCAACGTCACCCAGCTGGCTTTCACAGCTAAGGTGGGACTAGAATTCACAGTTTCCTAGTGATTGGCTCAAAGTCACCTAGCTGGCTTTGACGATTAAGGTGGGATTAGAACTCACAGACTCCTGGTGATTGGCCGAAGTCACCCATCTTGCTTTCATGGCTAAGGCGGCATTAGAAATCTCCTGGTGATTGGCCCAAAGTCATCTAGCTGGCTTTCACGGCTAAGAGTACTTGAACTCACAAGGAGAAACTTTCTGACAGTGAGAACAATCAACCAATGGAACCGCTTGCCCTCGGAAGTTGTGGGAGCGCCATCAGTTGAGACTTTCAAGAAGAGATTGGACTGCCATTTGTCAGAAATGGTGTAGGGTCTCCCGCTTGGGTGGGGGGTTGGACTAGACGACCTACAAGGTCCCTTCCAACTCTGATTATCTGTATCTGTATCTGTTATGTGTATCTCCTGCCTCTTCCTTAACCACTAGGCCAAACTGACTCTTACTTGGTGACAAGCCTGCATTTATGGCCATTTGCAATTTCTTGTGGTCATGTGACCACAATTTCTAACATTTCCCCCCAAAATTAGTGTTTTCTTCTGGTTTTCAGCAAAAAACACCCCAGAGCAAACAATGAGTTCACTTAATGATTGACGCAAAACAAAATCATCTAATTGGATTAATCACATGAATGACCTGTTTTACGACCATCATGGCTTAGGCATGCTCCAACACAGTCATAAATCAAGGACTACTTGTATTCTGTTGTATTAGATTTTAAACTCTGGGATTCTAAGTCAAACTGCCACTAAAATCGTACCTACTTTGAAAACATTATATCTCTTATTAACAACGCGGCAGTGTTTTAAGAACCAGGAAAGCAGGCAAGAAAGTACATACCTGGCATGTCCAACCTGTCATAAATTAAAAATAGATATATTATTACAAAAGCAGTCATTAGGCAATACAGTAAACAAAGCTGAATTGAACAGTTATGGACAGCAAGGACTTCAAATTTGGGAAGATTGCTCCAATCTCGTTAAGAAATAGGGAGTCTTTATGTGAGCCTTGCAGAGCAAAAGGAGCAAACATTGTATTATAATTGTGTTATAAGTTGCATACGTTCTTTAAGCCGCTTACTGAGAACCCAGATTGTTAGGGGAGGTATGCTGGCCTGTTGTGGCCTGTCGGCCACCGGCCCCTCCAGCAGCCAAATCAGAGGAAGAGGAGGAGGTGTGGGAATCAGGGTCAGCATCAACCTGAGAGCTCCGAGGGGGAAGAGGGAATGGAGCTGGCAGAGAGAGAAACAGAGGGCCATCCATCCTGGGCCATCCATCAGCCCTCAGATGGAGAGTCTAGAGGTGGCTGATGAGGAAGGAACAGTGCCTGACGCGTGGATGCGCAGAAGGCAGAGGAGAGGAGAGCAGTGGAAATCTATGGGCTGGTCCTTGGGAAGGAAAAGCCACTGCTGCTAATGAAGCTCGGTCAAAACACTGGCTCTGTAAACTGCTCTGTCAAGTTAAAATCTTAGATTCAATGGCCCCTGACCTTTTGGGTACCAGGGACTGGTTCCGTGGGGAGAGATTTTCCCACGGACTGGAGGGGGCGTGGTTTCATGGGCCGCCTGCATCCCAGAGATGGGGCTTCGCTTGTTTTGCACGGCCTGGTTTTTGGCATGCTGTGGCCCCTTGCTGGTCCATGGACCTGGAATTGCGGGGACCCCTGTCTGAGAGAGTGCTGTAAAGCACTGTGAAGTGGTATATAAGTCTTAAGTGCTGTTGCTATTGCTACTTACAGTGGTTTTGTGTCCGCTTTGGGTTTCGGTGGGCAACAGGAACGGAGGTATTTTGCCAGCAAAATGGTTAGATATCCGAGCAATCCCAGCAGCAATAAACTGCCAAGGAGTATGAAAAATGGCACATACCAAGCCGATGGAGCATAAACATTCTCTTTGCTGGTCACAATGGTCACAGCAGGCTTGTAAGGAAGAAAAAAAAAAAGAGAGGTTGGAAACAAAATTGTTCTAAATGGGTAAATACCCCCCCCCCCCAAATCCCAGCAGTCTCAAAAGAAAAGAAAAAAAAACATGTTTACAACATACAGTGCCAGGACTGTAAACAAAGCCTGGAACTCACTACCTGTTGTTACATCCTCAAACCCCCCAAACTCTAACCTTAAACTGTCTACCATGGATCTCGCTCCATTCCTAAGAGGTCTGTAAGGGGACGTGCATAAGCGCACCAGCATGCCTACCATCCCTGTCCTACTATTGCCATTTATTCATACTCATTTATTATGTAAGTACAGGGGTGGGATTCAAATTTCATAACAACCGGTTCTGTGGGCTAGCCTAATTTGTGGGTGTGGCTTGGTTATCATGTGACTGGATGGGCATGGCTTGTTGATTGGGCATGGCTTGGTGGTCCCGTGACTGGCTGGGTGTGGCTTGTATGTAAATATTGTAAATATTTATGTAAATATTGAATTTTTTATTAAAAATGAGGAAAGCAGGCAAATCAGGCAGGCAGTTTAATTGCTCCCAGAATCACAGATTCACTCAGAAATCTACCATTCTGCAATCTGCTATCTGAGTCTGCACTGAAAAATAGAAGCTAGGAAGGTTCAGCTCTGCTTTTAGATTAGCGAAAAAGCAAGAAAGCCAACGATTTCCTGCTTTCTAGCTAATCTAAATCTCCCGGCACAGCTGATAGTTGGAACAGCTGATGGTGTGGGGGGAAAGGAAAAATAGCAACTTAGCAGGCAAGTTGGATGGCGCGCATGCCAGGTAAGGAGTGATTGGGAGGGGAGGGGCCAACCAATGTTGAGATTTGCCGGTTCTCCGAACTGCACAGAATTGTAACAACCGGTTCTATAGAACTGGTGTGACCAGGTAGAATCCCACCCCTGTGTATATACTTATATCCATATATGTTTATATGTTTTGTTCATCCTTACACTTGTTTTCTCATACATGCTTGACAAAGAAACAAAATAAATAAATAAAATAAAATAAATGAACAGGCAGAAGACTTGCAGACTGAAATCATGCACATCAACTAGTGAGCAGAAGTCATGATGAAAATGTCTTCATTTCACAAAACACGGCCATAATTTCAACAGGGAATTTGTGAGTGTCCTTGACTAAGCAAAGTCCCAAAAAATGCTAAAGAATTCCCGGAAGCCTGGCGCTCAGACAAATCAGCCCTCAACAGACACATAGAGATAATCGACATCTACACGCCACTTAAAAGAGAGCATCAAAAACCTCAAAAAGGAAACTAAAAGCCCAAAACACCTCGCCCAACAATCATGAATGGAATGTTAATGGAGATTAACACCAAGATTAACTAGATCAGCAATCAGGGAACAATATTGCAATCAAGGGACTACCAATGAAGACAAGCAAGCTTACAGTAAACAACAGCCTAATCAAGAAACAACCAAGACTATAAAAATTAAAGCAAATTTCCCTCCCTTCGAGCAGTGATGATGTTACCTAGTTTGGTAATGAGATGTCTGCAAGAAAACCACCAAACTCAAAGAACACCAAGAACTCCACAGTCATAGTCATTGCCCTCCTCCTCCTCCTCCTCCTCCTCCTCCTCCTCCTCCTCCTC